CCTCCTGGTGCTTGAGCTCTTCCTCGGTCCACGAAACTTTTCTGTCTTTCCTGTCCAAATTACCTGCCCAGTGACCCATCCGTCTTGCACCACTCTCAACAAATTGGAAACATATTGGAAAGTATGTCCATTGTCCTGTGGACATACTTCTCATTGGAGAACCAATGAAAAAAAAGTTTTTTTTAAAGGTATAATCTTTCTTTTTTTCAAAGATTTATTTATTTATTTATTTATACAAGCACTGGGCACAGTCAGAAGCGCGGGAAGGTGAGAGAATTCACTAGAGCCAGAGCGGGGAGCAGAGCAGGCAGAAGGACCGAAGTACACTGCTGAGGGGAGCAGCGGGCGGCAGGAGAGGTCTGCGCGCCATGTGGGACCCTCCTCTGGTGGCTGGGGAGCAGCCGGGGATCGAACCGGCGCCGCAGAGGCTGCGGGCAGCTTCGCAACCCAGCGCTCAACTGCTGCGCCACTGGGGAGGCCCCTGAAAAATTTTAATAGATCATGAAATCATATTATTTTTAACTTTCCATGATCAATCAAAACGTTCAAAACGTTCCAATTGTGTGATCTGTAAAACCGAGGCTCACCGGCGTCGTCCTCAGGAAGGATGGGCATAACAGGCACTGTTTCCTGGCTGCCAGAAGGCTCTTTGTCCCTACGATAGTTGATGACGGTAGTAGTGTGGAAACCCAAAGTCACTCTCAGAGCTGGCCGGACGCTGCGAGCTGGTGGAGAGCCAAAAATGGGGGATCCCCAAAGCCCACGTGTCTGCCTTTTGTATCCACCTGGCTGCTTAACCCCACCCTCAGGTCCCAGCCACCTTCCCTTTGGTGGTGATGGGATTTGGAGTTCCCAGTGTCTTTGGCTTTGACCTGGGGTGGGGGTGGAGTCCACAAAGCCTATATGGAATTTGCTTTGGGACATCCTTTTCCCCCTAACAGTAGGATGATAATCCACATTTTTTTCCTTCAGCTGATTCCTCTATTCTGGCAGCCACATGCTGAATTAAAAGTCAGGATTCCCAGGAATGAGGGGTGACTGGGTACTGGGAGAGGCCCATGTTACCGGCCATGCAGGAAAGGCCAGGATGTTGGGACAGGAAGCAGGAAGTGCCTCCTGACACCCTGCCTCTTCTCCAAGCCCCATCCTGCCGGATGTCTGCTCAGCCCCTGAGCTTCTGCCATCAGAAATGGCCTCTCCTGTCCTCAGTGAGTGTGAGGCGTGCGCCTCCTGCAGGGATCTTGCAGAGCTGGCTCCTCCGGGGCCTTGGTCTTCCTTTTTGCCTTTTCTCCTGGGAAGAGCCACATCCTGGCAGAGGACCAGCTTTTTGCTATTTAAATTTTTATATTATGCAAGCATTCATGTAATGACAGTAAATGAATCCCCTTAACCATTTATTTAGAAAAATTTTAAACTTTTATAGAAAAGTTCAATGAACACCCAAGTGCCATTCACTTAGAGTTGCTAGAGAGGAACCTTGCTGGCTTTATCACTTTTTCTTCTTTTTGAACCATTTGAGGTTAAGCTGCAGACATCTGGACTCTTCATCCTTAAAGACAGCTTTCTCTTCTAAAGGACGGACATTCTTCTATCTGACCCCAGTATACTGACCACTCCAGGAATCCAGCACTTGATAAGACGCTGTGATCTAAATGCATCCATCTTAATCTTCCCTTAATACCCTTAGAAAAGATTTTTTAAGAAAAAAAATGTCATGAAAGAATGAATCATACCACTTGCCACCGATGAAACAGAACTGTTTCATTACTTCCCAGATTCTTTATGCTACCCCTGTAATATGTTCTTTATTGTCATTTCAAGAATAATATGTAAATGGACTCATACAGTGTGTAACCTTTAGAGATTGACTTTTTCACTCAGCAAAATTTCCTTGAGATCCATCCAAGTTGTTGCCTGTGTGAAGGCCAAAGTCATTGCCTTCTATTTTATTACTGAGCAGAATTCCATGGTATGGATGTATCACAGTTTGTTTAACCCTTTACCCATTGAAAGACATTTGGGTTTTTCCCAGTTTTTAGCTGCTATGAACTGCTGTGAACATTCTTATACAGGTTTCAAATAAAACTGCTATGAACATTCTTATGCAGACTTCATTTTCTGGGATAAGTACATAACAGTGCAGTTGCTGGGTCACACTCTAAGTATATGTTTAATTTTTAAAGAAACAGGCAAGCTATTTTATACTTATATTATCCCCAATGATGTAATAGACCTCCAGTTTCTCTATATCCATGCCAGCACTTGGTATTTTTAATTTTAGCTGTTCTAATGAAAGAATACTGGTACTCATCATAGTTTTAATTTGTATATCCCTAATGGATAATAATACTGAATGTATTTTCATGTGGTAGTTATATTTTTAATGGCTGTATAATATTCCACCATGGTTATACATATGATTTATTTAATGGATGCGAGGGCCGCCATAGCAAGGCACCATGAACTGAATGACTGAAACAAAAAATAATTATTTCCCACAGTTTTGGAAGCTGGGAAGTTCAGGAGTTTTGAGGCTGGGCTCTTTGGGGGAGCTCTCCTGGAAGAGGCCATCTCTGCTAGGTCACACAGCAGCTAAATGATCATTTTAGGGATTTTCCACTCAGCTGTGCCTACCTCTAAAGGCCCCGCTCACTCCAGTTCAGTGTGGGAATTCAAACTTCTGTCCCTGTCTCCCTGCTAGTGCCGGGCTCTGGATCCTGGCATAGTTTGGGAGCCCTTCACATGGATTTACCCTCCCCACCCCCATCAAATGCCACAGCCCCACTGGTGATCTAAGAAGCAAGAACAGACCAGAGAATGGGAATCCTGTTCTCCAGAGAGAAGGGAGAAAGACCTACTTCCTACCTTTAGTTTAACCAGATGGCCTGCTAGAAATGTCAATTATTTGAAAAAAAATTTCTCACAGTCTTGAAGGTTGCCTTTCTATCTGCCTGCTGTGTTCCAAGCCCGTCTAAATTTTATCTCTGTTAAAAATGACCCCATTGTCCTGCCACTGGGAGAACAGATAAGCTCGCCATTATATGTCCATACAATGGAGTAGTGCTCAGCAGTAAGAGGGCAGGGACCCCTGGAGAGGCGGCATCATGGGTGACTCCCAGCGCATTATGCTGAGTGAAAAAGCCAAACTCAAAAGCTGTCTAGAAAAAGAAAGAAAGAAAGGATGGAAGAGTTGAGAATAGTTGCCAAGAACGGTAATGTTACCTTTAGGAAGGTCTGATTTCTTCTCCTATAAAGCCAGTTTGTCTTAGATATATTTGACATAGAAAATAAGGAAATCCCTGTTTGGTAATCAGAGCACAGTTTCTTTTCATCTAAGAACCCACTTTGACTTTAGGCAATAAATTCTCTTTAGACATTAAAGGAAAGGCTGTAGTGCTGGTCCATACTCCACTTACATGACATTATGGGAAAGGCAAAGCTATTGGGGAGAACAAAGCAGCCCACCTGGGGTGGGGAGTGCTGGTACCCAGGGGCACGAGGGAATTTTCGAGGGATCTGTTATTCAGCTTTATTGTGGAGGTGGTTGTGTGGCTCCCTACATTTGCCTAAACTCATAAAAATGCATAGCAGAGAGGGAAATTTTACTGTATATAAACTAAAATGCAAATTAAACAATCCACTGTCTTCTTAAAATGACTTCCTAGAGGTTTAGGAAGGAAAAAATGAGGCCATGAGTAGTTAAAGAAAGTGTCTGTGGTTCCTGAGGGTTTGTGGGAACTGTTTCTTGGCTGTTGGGCCCTGGCCCCAGGGCCTGTCTCCTGGCCTCTCTTGTTTCCCTCTGCTTTTCTCTCTTGCCAGCATTCAGTAGCTGCAGCTCGGTAAGAGACAAGGAAAGTTCTGTGGTGCCCAGAAAAGAATCAATAACTGCCCATCCTGGGTCGTCATGGCAACCGTGACATCACCCTTGCACCCTACACCCTTGCGACTGGCACCATTGGTGTTTGTTAAAAGAACAGAAGAAAGAAGGGCAGCCGGGCTGCTGCCTGGTGACAGGTGAAGGAGAACCCCCGGAGCTGGAGACTTGGTCTCCACCTTGCAGAAGGCGTTATAGCTGGGCCTCTGCCCCCAGCACAGCTGCAGGGGGGTCCAGCCTCCTTGGGGGCTTTGGGACATAATCTATCAAAGTTAACAGGTGTATACCCATATCAGTGTCTCTGGGGCTGTAATAGCAAGTGGCTGCACTTGGGTGGCTCAACAGGCCAGAAATGAGTATTCACCGTTCTGGAGGCCAGACATCTGGAGGCTCCGAGGAGGGTTCGCTCCGTGACTCTCTCCAGCTTCTGGAGGTTGCCTCTGTCCTTGGCCTCCTTGGCTTGCAGCTGCAGCATTCCAGGCTCCGCCCCATGTCACATCACTCTCTCCTCTGTAAAGGTCTCATACCTGATGAAGGGCTCGGTCCCCCCAGGAGGACCTCTGCTTACCTAATGACATCTCCAGCAATCCGATTTCCAAATAGTGTCCCATTCTGAGGTCCTGGGGTTAGGACTCCACATAGGAATTTGGGGAGGACGTGATTCAACCCAAAGCGCTGCTTTTATTGTTATTACCTCTCATTTAATAAGCTGGTCTCAGCTGCCGACCGCGTCCTCCTGGGCCCCCCCAGGAACCAGGTGGGCTGCTAAGGGGTTGTTTTGAGCTCCCGGGAAAGCTGAGCTTCTGTGGGGCTCGACTCCAGGGCCAGGTTGTCCATCTTCTCTGGGACCCTGAGCTCAGCCCTTCATCTGCCTCACTCCAGGAGCTCTGATCCTGTGGGAGACAGCTCCCCACGTCTGGGGGTAGCAAAATTCTGTACCAAATACCACTTTGAGGATTAGGTCCAAAAAAATGTAAGAGGGAGGTAGGGAGGGCGGAAGAGGTTGAGGTGTGGTGGGACCTCTTTCTTCCCACTGAGAGGAGCTGAGGTCTTCCGACTGGGGATTCTGAGCAGAGCTGCCCCCAGCTTCCAGCAGAGCCTCCTGGAATTCTGCCTCTCGTTCCAGGTTCATGAACCACCGAGTCCCCGCCCACAAGAGGTACCAGCCCACGGAGTATGAACATGCTGCCAACTGTGCCACCCATGCTGTGAGTTGACTCTTGGGAGGCTGAGAACTCAGAGGGCCTCACTTCCAGGTGGGAGGAGAAAAAGCTGGCTTCCACTCTTGGAGAAATTCAATGTTCCCATTTTTGGCCATTTCCCAAGACCTGCTAAGTCTTCTGTGACCCTTGAAAGAGAGAGTGGGGTCTTGAGGGAAGAGCATGTCTGTAGATTGCACTGTGGTGCTACGCATGCCTCTCTCTCTTTTTTTTTTTTGTGGGACCCTCGCAGGCTGCCAGGGAACAAACCGGCGCTGCAGACGCCTGCCTCTCTTTTATTCTAAGAACCTTCACTGGCTCCCTAGTATCTGGTGCAGCATCGGGGCTCTGCAGCAAGCCCCAGCCAGGTCTTAGTGTGTTTGTCAGCCCACCTCCCAAAGCTACGCTCTGCTCCAGGCTCTGGCACCTGCACACAGTTTCTAAATGGAAGGTAGGACTCCATGCCTCTGCACATGCTTTTGCCTCTGGAATACCGACTGTCTCCTCCTCAGCCTCCTCTTTCCACCTTTCATGGCCTTGCTGAAACGTTTCCCCCGCGCCTTCCCATCTGCCAAGTGTTGTAGCCCTCATCACTCTGTTCCTGTCTAGCTAGAATGGACCAGTTCGTCCGCTCATTTATTCACTGGGTGTTCCTGTGTGCCCTTAAGGTACCAGGCTCCATGGCAGTCCCTGGCGATGCAGATGTGAGTTTAAACCAGGTATCTGTGGGTCGCGGACCCCTTGGTGTCTGGGATGTGGCAGTGTGCCTGGTGCAGTGGAAGCATGTGTGGACGCAAACTGAACTAGTTTTTAACCCTCCTCCTCTGAGATCCCTGCTGTGCCTGTCTGAGCCTAGGTCTACACAGTGGGCATCGGGTATCACAGGGGAGGATTAGCTGGTGCTAGTCAGCACTTAGTGTGTACCCGGCACTACGCTCGGTCCTGCTCCCATTTTCTCAATCTGTTGTGTTAGAGCAGGAGCTCTACTGAGCAATGACAGCTACATAGTGAGGCTCAAAACACACCAGCTCCCTGTTTCATTGAGGAGGTGACTGAGGACTCAGGCCAGCGGACTCTGCCAAAGTCCCCACTGTCACAGGTGGACACTGAAGTCCTACTGTTGAATTCCAGCTCCTTCATTCTGTGGCTCTGAACCTGTTTCCTTATCTGCAGAATGGGCATTGAGTAGCTCTCAAGGAGGCTGTGCGCATACTCAAAGCACCTGTGTACAGTGTGGCATCTTGGCAAGTGTCTGCTTCCTCCCCACACTCCTGAGGAAACAGGCACTGACCTGACCCTGCTACCATCCTTGGGGGAAACTGAGCCTGAGAGCAAACCTCTCTTCCCACCTCCCCAGCAGTGGTGGCGGCAGCATAGGTGTCCCCTTTTTCTAATGTGATCCAGTAGGGGGCGCCAAGCTACTTGCACCAGACTCATTCATTCGTTTCGGCATCTGCAGGTACACAGGTGAGGGCAGGGCATGGCAGGTGTGTTTTGTTTAGTGTCCTTCCCAAGCATGTGCTCATAGACTTGGAGGAAGGAATGAATGAGTCAGTGAATGAATAGTTGATTCTGTAGGTGATGATAAAATAGCCCAACACATAGTAAGGATCCTCAGCTGAATGACACCTAAATCCTGGAGTTAGTAAGTAGCATGTGATAATTAGTAAGTAGCATGATTTATGTTTTAAGGTGGTATAATAAGATCAATGGGAGTAGTCTTTAAAAGTTCAAAGTTCCATCCCCTCACCTTGCCTGTTGCTGTTCTGTCCGCCATGTGCCAATGTGCACGTGATGGCTAATGGCCTTTCCTTAGAACAATCCCTTCTGCTGAATGCTGCCGTTGACTCTTCCCTTTCCATCACGTGACTTCATCTACAAGTCAGAATGTCCATGAGCCCAGCAGGATACCTCCTTCTGTTTGGAACTGACTTGGGCTGATTTCACAGACAAAATACTTCTCAGCGAGCCCTAGAAGATGCATGCTGTTGGGGTTGGCTCCCCCTCACGCTGCTTCTTTCCTCCGTAGGCTTTGTCATGTGCATGCAACCATTCATCCATCCACTCAGTGCCTGCCGTACTGGGCACAGAGCTCCATGCTCAGCTTGCTAGTAACGTGGTGGGAGGCAGGCGTTGGACAAGCAAGTCTCTGGTGTAAGTTGTGGTACCTGCCATGGGGAGAAAGAGCAGCGTGCTGTGAGAGCATGTAGTCTTAGACAGGTGGCCAGAGGTTTGCTTCTGCAGTAGTGATGTTGCAACTGACACCGAAGGACAAAGAGCCAGCCACCTCAGGTGTGGCAGGAACAGCATGTGCAGGAAGAGGGAAAAGCATGTACAGATACCCTTAGACAGAAAAGAGTGTATCACAGTGGAAGTATGGATGAAAGGCCAGAGCCTGGTTACCCAGAGGCAAAAGGGGAGGTAGGTGGACATGGGGAGAGGTAAGGTTGGAGGGATGGGCAGGGGTCAGATCATATTCCTATAAAGACAGGATTTGGGGATTCTGCCTTCTATAGCCAACCATGACCGGTTGTTTGCTATTTAAACCTGCTTACAAGTAGAATGGTGCCGGGCAGCTAGCCTGGCCCTACTTTCAAAATGCTCAGGGTGAGTGAGCAGGGACTTCAGTGACAATTATGTGTGCATGTAGCACATCAGACCTCTCGGTGTGTGACCCAGAATGGTTCTGGAGTGTGGGGGAGTTGGCTGCCCCCTGGGCAGTGGTTCTTAACCCTTCAGTGCACAGACCCCTTTGAGACTCTAATGCTGATCCAGACCTATGTTGTCCAATTGGATGGCCACTGGTCCCTGGTGGCCATTGAACACTTGAGATGTAACTTACCAGAATTGAGATGTACAGTAAGTGTGAAATACATACCAGTTTTGGAAGACAACATAAAAAAATAATGTGAATACCTCCTTAATAATAGTTACATGTTAAAAAGAGAATATTTTAGATCTATTGGGTTAAACCAAATATATAATTAATATTAATTTCACCTATTTGTTAATCTCTTTTAAATCAGGGCTTCAGAAAAACTAAAATTACCTAAGCATAATTTTAAAATTATCTCTCTTATCATTCTTTTGGCTGGTGCTGCTGTAGGTTCTTTCTTCAGAAAAAGTGTCCCCAACACAAAAGGGCAGAAGCTTTCAGGGACCCTCTCTCTGGAGATTTTTTTTTTTAAAGATTTATTTATTTATTTGTTTGTTTGTTTATTTATTTATACAAGCACTGGGTACAGTCAGAAGCGCGGGAGGGTGAGAGAATTCACCAGAGCCAGAGCGGGGAGCAGAGCAGGCAGAAGGACCGAAGTACACTGCTGAGGGGAGCAGCGGGCAGCAGGAGAGGTCTGCGTGCCATGTGGGACCCTCCTCCAGTGGCCGGGGAGCAGCCGGGGATCGAACTGGTGCTGCAGAGGCTGCGGGCAGCTTCGCAACCCAGCACTCAACCGCTGCGCCACCGGGGAGGCCCTCTCTGAAGATTTTTGAGACTTCTCAGAGGAATGGATAAACCAAGATTTAGAGAATGGGGAGGTCTGGTGGACACGACAGAGAGGGTTATTTCTTCAGAGGGAAGCGCTGTGCCGCTCACAGGCATGAAGCAGCAGCTGTGCCCAGGGCCCTCAGGCTGGGCAATTCCGTGGGACCAAGCAGGCCTGGGGCATTTCCACTATCAAGAGAAATTCTGTAGGACAGTGCAGGTCTAGGCCATTTCACACATCATGAAGTTCCGTGGGACAGCACAGTTCTAGAACATTCCCATCACCACAGGAAGTTCTTTGAGACAGCTCAGGCAGCTCCAGGATGTTTATATACAGGAAGTTCTGTTGGACATCACAGGTCTAGAACATCTACATCATCAAGGAGAGCTCTGTGGGACAGCGCAGGGCTAGAACGCTGGGAATTCCGTGGGACAGCACAGGTCTGGAGAAAAGGGAGGGAGGTGTGCTTGGAGAAGCTATACTTCCTTGAAGCATCTGTTCTCACTCCTGCTTCCAGCTCTGGATCATTCCCAGCATCCTCGGCAGCTCCAACCTCTACTTCCTGTCAGATGATGACTGGGAGACCATTTCTGCCTGGATCTACGGCCTTGGCCTCTGTGGGCTCTTTGTGGTATCCACTGTCTTCCACACGATCTCCTGGAAAAAGAGCCACCTCAGGTACCCACTGTCCAGCCCACAGGAGGGGGTGCATCATGGATGGGGTGACCAGGGTTGAGGGATGAGACAGGATATGGAGTTTGATTCGGGATGTGCTTGCCTGAGCCAGAAGGGACTAAGATGGGTGATATACTTAAACCATACCTTCAATCGCTGGTCAAATTTATCGAGGGTTACAGTTTGCTAGACAGGGTCAGTTTGTGTTAGTTAGCTACTGCTGTGTGACAAATTGTTCTATACCATGGAGGCTTAAAATAATAAAGTGCTGTCAGTTCTCAAGGCTTCAGAAAGTCAGGGAATCAGGAATTTAGCTGTGTGGTATGGGTTCCCAGTGTCTGGTGTGGTCAAGTTGCTGTGTGGCTGCCATCTATAGGGAGGCTTGACTGGGGCTGGAGAAGCTACTTCAAAGATGCCTCTCATATGGCTGGCAAGTCAGTACTGGGTATTTGGGGTGGGTGTTTAGTCCTTCCCACAGGGACCTCTCTAGGGACACATCATGGCTCATTTCTCCCTAAGTTAGGGTTCCAAGATTAAAAGGATCATCTCTTTATCATCCAGCCCCAGCAACCACACACCATCATTTCTGCCATCTTTCATTGCTTGCATGGGTTTGCCTTCTTCACTGTGAGAGGCAGCTGCGCAGGGTGTGAATACCAGAAGGTGGGGCTCTTCGGGTGCCATTTTGGAGGCTGACTTCCACATCCAACAAATGTGTTGAGGGCTACAGTTGCTGTTCAAGGCGAGGTCACAACAAAAACAGCTCTCCTGTTGAGCACGTCTGTTACATGCAGCGCTTAGTGCCCACTCACTTTCCCCTCACAGCGGCCCTTGCAGGTGGCTGACGTCGTCCTGTTTACATTTGTGAAAACAGACCTAGAGAGGTCAGTGACTTGTTCAAGGTCATTTAGAGGTGAGCTTGGGATTCAACTCCAGGTCTTCTGACTCCACTGGCCAGAAACAGAGGGTCTTCAGGGGCACACAGATCAGCAGTTTCTGCACTTGGAAATTTTAGCTAGAACATTCTTTCACCTTTGAAATCTTTTGAAAGACCCCGTATATGAAACAGAATTGCACACAACTGAAAGTCCAGTTTCCATCTACCACCAGCCAAGCGATCCCCTTCCATTTACCTGTCCCCCATCTCCAGGGGAACACCTGCTGTCCCCCTGGAACCGATATAATGTTATAATCCAAGGTTAATTCAATAAAAATTTATAGAACAAAAAAACCAGAAATGCAGGGTTTCTCTGATTAAATGGATGGAGGAGGGCATTGGACCTTCACCTTTTGGCAAGAGGAGGGTCTGCAATTGGGCCCCAGAGGGTGACGGAGAGACTGGTTTGAAAATGACCTTCTAGGTCATGTGTAGATAGGGAGAGCGAGATGCGCGGGGTGGCGCTGGATGGCGGCAAGCCTGCCCCAGCCCAGGCCCTCCCCACCTGGGGGAAGCAGGTCGGGCCATGCCCCGCTGCCCAGTGACCACCCTCTCTGCCCCAGGATGGTGGAGCACTGCCTGCACATGTTCGACCGCATGGTCATCTACTTCTTCATAGCGGCCTCCTATGCGCCCTGGTGAGTACCCCGGCGGGGCGGGAGGGAACTGCTTCCTCTCATCCTTTGGTGTGAATTAATCTATATATTTGGCTGGGTAATTTATTGACTATGCACAGAGGAGCTTATGGCAAAGATGCCCCCGCCCCGGCCCCTTCTTTTCTGGGTAACCATATGCTCCAATAACATGTGTGGCTTCCCAGTGATTTGGGTGGTTATGGGTTAGTGGTCCCTGGAGGAAGAAAGTGGGTGTTCAGCTGGGAAGCTGTTGGGTCTGGGTGGAAGGAAGGGGCTTGAAAAGAGTGTTGATGAGGTTTTATTTTATGGGCCAAAGGGTGTGTGTCTTGGGAGCAGAGAGGTGCAGCGCGCTGGTGCTCTGGGAGACAGACAGTCGGGGCCTGGTCCCCACCAGTGGCTGTGGAGGTGGAGAGGAGAGGATGGATGTATGGAAAAGATTTTTATAGGAAACTGAGTAGACTAGCTGACTGACAGTGGGGAGCAGGGAGATGTAGGGGTGAATGCCAGGGCTTTCAGGGTGGCTTTTCTTGAAAATCAGCAAACTTTGGGAGTGTTGTGAAATCGCCTCTACTGCTGTCTGCTTCGAGACAAGCCACTGAGAGAGGGGCTTGCTTTTCTCCTGGAAGCTTGTATGCTTAGGCTGTCAGATGCCAGATAGGGGGTTGCACGGAAACTTCCGGAGTAAACGCAGATCCTGGATGAGGAGCTGCAGTTTGAGTGGGTAGGTGGGTGGCTCATGGGACATGCCAAGAGCAGAAGTGGAGAGCAGCTCATGTTCCACCACCCCATGTGCCGGCTGGGTTCACTGGGCACATCTGTGCACACCTGCACCTGGCAGGAGCCATGTAGCGTCAGCTCTCTTCCTGAATGTTGCTGAGGAGGGCAAAGCTAAGATTGAAGTGCAGCTTCAGTGACTGCTCTTGACATAGCTTTCTAGAACAACCACGCCCTTTGCTGACTTAATGCTTGTCAGTGATGGCCTGGGTGCTGGCTTTGTGCCGCTCTGGTGTCTGAGGCAGGGCCACAGGCCGCCCTCCTCATGGACTTCGGGCCTCCCAGGGGACACAGGGGATGTACCGACACTGACTCTAGATATGAACTGCATGTGAGGAGTGCCATGAAGCTGGGGTACAGGAGCTGAGATGGGGAGCTATGCCCTGGTTTGTGAGCTACTTGGGAGGACAAACCAGCAGAACTTGGGGATCCGTTGGAGGTGGGGGAGAGAGGAGAGAGCAGTGGCTAGTTTTCATGTTGGACACCTGCGTGTGGGGCTGAGGAGAGGGCAGCTTCCAGGGCGGGGACCTGGGCCTGTGCTGTCTGGGCTTGTAGTGTGCTACCACCACCTAAGTCAATGTCTGGAGAAAACAGCTGGTGGAATGCTGGAGAAAGCTGCACCTGCAGGCATTTGGCACTAGAGAGACTGCCTGGGGGAGCAACAGAGAGAAAAGCCTCTGTTCCGGAGCCTGGGCAGAACTTCAGGAACCAGGAAGAGCCTTCCCTCCCGAAAGTCTCTCTGTCGCCCTCCACCGACAGAGCTCACCATCATGCCTGCTACAAAGGAGGACCCTCTTGATTTTCCCTTCCCATTTGTTTTTGAGTGATTTTAATGTATGTCCCTTTGGGCCAACGTTGTGATGAATGACCTTTTCTGTGTGTCTGCTTCTGAGGCTGTCCCCCCTGAACTGGTCAGACTGGTCACTGGAGTGTGCGCTCCAGAGTTTGCTGGGCTCTGCCAGACGACCCTCCAAACTGGCTTCCCTCACTAATGGTCTCATTCGTTTGAAGTGCCCTTTCCCTTCATGCTGGGGCCTGGTTCGTTGTGCTAATTTCCCCCTAGTACTTGCTCATTGATCAGCTCCCTAGTGTTCTGTCTCTCCACATGTCTTCCCATGGCGGGCCATGTCCCACCACTGGGCCACAGCGGGCGGGGTCTGCTCAGGGTCAGTTTTCCCTGTGACAGGCAGGCCATGGAGGATGAGGTCCCAGTGGCCCCTCAGGCTGTGCTCTCAGCCCTCTCTGTCTGTCTCTGTCTCTCCCTCTCTCAGGCTAAACCTTCGGGAACTGGGGCCTTGGGCCTCCCACATGCGCTGGCTGGTCTGGATCATGGCCTCTGTTGGCACCATCTATGTCTTCTTCTTTCATGAGCGGTAAGCCAGCACTGGGGTCTTCTCGGTGCTCCAGCAGGACCCCTGCCCTGCTGAGGGGGAGACGAGACCCCAGGATGATCCTGGAAGCGTGAGGGCCCAGTGGTCAGGCCCTGGGGTGGCCTCCGGGGCACAACCTGGAAGGTCGTTCTGAAGAAAGACCTGGCAGGTTCCTAGTCCCGCAGGACCTTGTCACATCCTACCCAACTTCCTAAACCTTGTTAGCAGATAAGGGGAGACGCTCTGAACACCTGGCTCCCTTTTCCTCCATCTTGATGAGTGATAAGAATAATTAGGTGAGAGAGAAACAGAGCTCCAGAAGCCAAAGGGGGTAACAGATTTCTGGAATCTCCAGGGATAATTATCAGTTGATGCAGCCACTTAGATCGATTGAGAATGGCTGCTTGGGTCATGTGGGCAAGGTGCTGGGATCACATAGTAATGTCTGCCCTGTGGGTGAGCATGAGAAGTAGCCCCCACACCATGCTATACCCAGAATTTGCCATCTGCACCTGTCATTTCATGGATGTGGAAACTGAGTCTGAGAGAAAGAAAGAGACCTGCCCAAGGTGACCAAACTCTACCAGCACCTGTTGGGGGATGCTGGGTGAAAAGTGAGCCCAGCAATGCAGGGCTGAGAGCAGAGACCCTTCCTCTCCCTCTTCCACCATCTGCCCAGGCTACGGTGGTTTGTCTTTCTGCCAGGTACAAGCTTGTGGAACTGCTCTGCTATGTCATCATGGGCTTCTTCCCTGCCCTGGTTATCCTTTCAATGGTAAGTCCCACCCACCTGGTATGGGGCCTGACATCTGGCTGCAAGGGGCCCCGAGTGAGATTGTCAAGTCAAACCCTCTCCTCTAGCAGACAGAGAAACTGAGGCCCAGTTAGCATGAACTGCTGATAGAGGCAGTCTTACAAACAGGCTATTCCTGTGGGCTTGAGCACCTACACAGCCCCTCATTGGGCTCATTAACTCACTATACCCCAGTTTTCCAGTCTGTTTAAGGATGGGAAAGTGATTAGAATGGTGTGGGAACAGAGTAAGGACCCCATTGTTAAATCAGTAACAGTGACGTGACCACCAGGAGCAGAGCCACATCTCAGGTCTCCTGACTTCTCCCTTGGGTATGTCCACATTCTAACTGCTTCTTGGCATAGAAAATCAAGTGCAGAAGGGGCAACCAGGTCTCTCTCTGTACCACACACTTACAAGCCCTTACCAAGTGCAGGAAACTTGCCCACAGGGTCCTACTCTTTGTCCCAGGCATCATTGGAGATGGACATGCCCAGCCCCATTTCATGAATGTGGATACTCAGGCTCAGGGATGGGGGGTGACCCACCTAGGGCCATGCAGTCCTTGAGTGGCTAAGCTGGATTTGGCCCCATAATTCCCACTGTGAGTATTGGGGTCTCAGTCATACCAGCTCACCTGGGAGTGAGTGGGAAGACCTCTCAGAGAGAGAGAAGAAGCTGCATGGCCATTGGGGGGTTGCCAGCCACCCTTCTCTGAGCCTGCAGCACTGCGTGAGGCTGTGGGTATGTTTCTGACTCTGTGGCATCAGGTCATTCCTGCCTTGTAGGTTGTTGTGACCGTGGCAATAGATAATGCGTGTAACTCAGGTAAGCGGTATTATTAATATCATGCCACGGCTATTCAGTGATACTCTCTTGAGATGGCATGAATAATGGTTGGGCACAGGGATGATGAAGCACAAGAAGTTCTAATGCCTCACGGGGAATCTGGGCTGGCTCACCATCTGTGTGCCATTTCATTTTGGGGGGGATTGACTGGGCTCTGCCAGTTTTGTTAACTGCTCCTCTGACCTGTGCTCGTCCCTGTTTGCCGACAGCCCAACACTGAGGGCATCTGGGAGCTGATGACTGGAGGCGTCTTCTACTGCATGGGCATGGTGTTCTTCAAGAGCGACGGGAGGGTGCCCTTTGCCCACGCCATCTGGCATCTCTTTGTGGCATTTGGTGCTGGTACTCACTACTATGCCATCTGGAGGTATCTCTATCTGCCCAGCACCCTGCAGGCCAAGGTATCCAAATGAGATGGCCCAGACGTCACGAAGCATGTGGGCTTTTGGAGCAGAGCATCTTGGGAAGTGTTTCTGTGAACCTTAGCCCAGATCACAATGCTGGGGCCTGTCTGCCCTTCCGTGGGTAGAGCGAGCTTTTGATGGGTCCAAGGTTACTTCTGGTGACAACCAGACCATCCTTTAGTCCCAGGTGAGAAAGAAAGCATTTAGTCATTTTTACAGAGGAGAAATTAACCCTGTAATGTGCTTCTATTCTACACAACTGATTCCTAATATAATCGACATTAACATCTTCAGAAAAGGGAGTGGACTGTGTCCTGGAAAACTGGGAAACAATGAGCCAATATGTGCTTCTTAAGACCCTGAGAAGTCTATCAGGGTGTGTCTTGTAATACCTGGATGACCAGAGCCTCCTTCCCTGCTACCAAAGTCCTGGCTTGGGGAATTGTCCTGTTCAGGGAACATCAACCAGCTTGTGGATCAAGAATGGTGAATATCTATGACCATGGCAGATATTACCAATCAACTGTAGCATGGTGGCATCAGACTTCTCAAGTCAGTGCTCTGGATAGTCACTCCCAATCACTTCAGCACTCATGAAGTCACCTCTTTGCCTTTCCTGTCCAGAGTGCTAGGCAGTGGGACCAAGGCCTAACTAGTTATATCTCCTTGTGGGGGAGCATGCCTGTCTCCTGACACTATGCCTGCACCCTTCCCTTTTGCCATTTTTGGGGAATTCCACTTGGGCAGTCCAGGGGCAGTAGGGGGAGATCAAGGCATACACCTGGGGTAGCCCTAACTGCTCCGCCGTCACTGGTTCTCAGGACAGAGGAGGAGTTAGCAAGTAGGATGGGAAACTGTTACTTGGTCACTTCTTGCGCTGACAAGTGCAGAGAAATTATGGGTGCTGCTCATCAGGAAGGACAGGCAGATCCTAGAAACTTGCTCACCTAATGCCAAATTCAGATTCTCACTTGGTGCCAAGCAGTGGCCCTTCCAGGCTCCTCAGATGGACCCCAGAGGGCAGGCCTCAGTTAGTTTGATGTGGATCTGGGCAAGGTGTCTGGATACCTCCAACCTGTGAATCCCTGTTGTCCCAGTGACAAGGCTTTCAGGGGCCTTTCCTCACAGCCTACTGCCTGGCTGGGCCAGCTGCTTGGTACCAGGCTCATGGACACTTTACTGGGGATGAGGTAGCAGGCCCAGCTCCAGGATCTGAATGGGAATCTCAGAATGTTGGATCAAGGATTTGTCTCAACTCAGACTGTCCTTTTTCTACAACTCCTAGCCAGAGTTGAGTGGGCAAGGATGGGTAAAGACAGGATGCCTTATGTTTATTTTTAGTACATTCCAGGGTATTTCAGGGCTCTGACATCTGGAATCCTGTGTGTCCAAGCCACTATTAGATCACCTTGACACCTTCCTCAGAGAGGTGGGTGCTGAGCTGGCTGATGAATTAGGGATGTTTTGTCCTCTTGTTTGTGTGTGTGTGTTTGGGTGTGTGCATGTGTACGTGCATGTGTGCATGTGGGTGTGCATGTGTGTGCATGTGTGTGCCTCTACACTGGCACTCCTAGGCCTTGGAAATAGCCTTCAGACAGTGTGCACACCCTGCACACTTCAGGTGTTTCCCATCAGTTGGGCTCAGGGTTGAAGTTCAGTGGGGAAGGGAAGCTTTATGGGGAAAGGCAGGTTGGAGTTGCCTACCCCTAACTGGGGACAGGGTTGGGGAGGGGTCATGTGGGTTCTAGGATGCTGTTTAGTGAACCTCCCAAGGTATGGTGCCATGCCGACTGTATGAAAATCCTGTCATTGGGGAGCCCAGAGCCCTGCTAAAGGGCCATGCTGGGTGCTTGGTTCCCTGACCTTGGGCCTCATTAGTGGCCCTGTAGGCCTGGCTGAGGAACTCGATCTGATGCCTGCATCTCCTGGTATCCCCTCCTCCTGGGTATTTGATCTTGCATTTCCCCCAGCATAACCTGCCCGGAGGCCCCAGGCTGCCTCCACCCCTATGTTTACTCTGAGGCCTTCTCTGCTGATGCTCACTGCAGTACTCGGGATGCCCCTTTAAAAGACTCTGGTCCACAGACCCCAGCAGTACGTGCCTCCTGTGCACACCTGGCCAGCAGGAGGCCCATTGGCCTCTCTGTTGTCTTCCCTGAGGTTTGATGTGCAAGACTGCAGCCTGATCTACCTTGACCTCAAATCTGAGCTGGAAGGAGTGGAAGAGCAAGCTGAGAGCACCCATCTTAAAGCAAATGGGCATGGGAGCAGTGGAGTGGCATGCCCGGGCGTAGAGCCAGAGAGTTCAGTGGAACTAGGCCAGAACCCTGCCTGACTTTCAGCCCAATGTGATTCTACTCCCATATTTCCATATGGCCAAGTTTGGTTGGTAAGCCAGTAGGAAGCTTTGGGGCGTCTTGGAAGAGACTCATGGTAGCAGCCAGGACATCTGGGTCCTGCTTCTCTGCTTTGTGCTTATGGTGTGACTTTGGGCAAATTATTTATCTTCTCTGGGCTTTCATCTGATCAGCTATAAAGGGAGATAGTATTCTTACTTAGCGGATTATAAGCTGGTGGTTCATCTCCAGGCTGTGTATACTAGGGATGAGTCCAGAGCCCAAGCCTGGGCTTTGTTGGAGTGCGAGCAACGGTTTGGAGCCTTTCTCGGATATTTAAGGGCAGGACTGTGTCTCTGTTGGTCCAGCACCAAGCTCTGCACTTAGACAGGTTTGGCAATGAGTGGAGAAGGGTGAACTTGGTCTTTGTTTCCTCATCTTCTGAGGTTGGTGGCATGGCTCGGGGGCCTCCTGTAAGTGTTGACCCTGGTACACTGGGGTTAAGAAGAGGCAAATTCATAGCCATGGTCTTGTGACACCTCTCTGGTCTTGACTCTTGGTGGCTTTGAACATGGGAAGACAAACATAAATGGTAGTGGGAGGCTCCTGGGCTGGTTTTTCCCAAATCGAGTTTGCAGTGAGCTGTGCCTCTGTGAGGAGTGGGTCTGCAGTTTGGAAGCCCGGTGGCTGTGGCCAGCCTGAGATTGCAGGATGAAGGGGCCAGAGCCCCCGGGGAAGCAGACGTGGTAGAGGGTGTGAGTGTTGGGGGCGGGGGTCCTTGAGGAGGAACCCCAAGTCTTGCCCAGGCTCACTGTAGGTTCAGAGAGTGAGTCTATATCCTAGTGACTGGGTGGGCATTTGTTTTCTTAAACATAAAGATTATTTTCAATAAAATAATTTGTTATTATAAACATCTTATAAGATACTAGGAAGGTAGGAAGGGTTTTAGTCGCCCTACCTCTCAGGTGACTGCTTTTAATCCTTTGTGGGTTTGTTTTTGTGTTTTTTTTTCTCTTGACATTTTTATGTCTTACCTTTTTTAAAAAGTATTTTTTTTTTGTTATTCCGGATGCTTTGTAAACATTATTGTACAAGTCTCCATTGAGTGGACATACCACAATTTCTTTAACCATCATTTTACTTTGAGTGCATATTGGTGATGAGGATCTCTCGACATGAGTTTCCCCCCAGTTTTAATACATTAGGTCACACTAAGAAGTTAGGTGAAACTTGCCATTCTACCTGCTGCCACTGGACTGATTGTCCCCTATAAGTGGCCCTTGTGCCAGGAGAGTTGGCGCATTGCTACCTGGGTGCTGCCAAGGGGCTGGTCTATCTGGAAGATTTCAAAAAGTCAACTGCAGCCTGCAGCCTGAGCTATGGAGGAGAAAGGGAGGGGGGCCAGTGCAGGAGAGGGAGGTGTGGGTTGTGGAGGGGACATTCCCAGAACCCGAGCCCCGGGGCTTTACGAGGCCAGGGGACCTTAGCCTGCGTGATGCTGTCCACTGCTGGTGGGAGACGGCATGTCAGCCAGGGTACAGGTGTGCTTTCCATGCTGTGGTACCTGGACACTGATGGTTAAATAGTCAGAAACTGGGAAAGTTGCCAAACCACTGGTACTGTGCGATCGGCCCTGGTAGGAATACCTATCTCATGGAAATTGGCATATCAGAGCTAAATATTTTTGAGAGCAGATTTCCAGGCATGGCACTGCCCGAGCCCGAGTATGCTTTTCTGCATTCTGTCCTCCTCTTCATCAGTACAATAGCTTATATAGATGCCCAGTTGTGAACATGTGCACACTCACATCCATGTTCTTATATATTCTTCCCCCAAGCCTGGCAAGATAGATAATGGTTTCCATATTACATTGGGGAGACTGAAGCTACTCAGAGAAGCTAAGTGACTTGTCCACGGTGGTCCAGCTGGTACAGGCAGGGCCCAGAATCCAAGTCACAGTCCTTGGGTGTCACATCCTGCATCTTACCTCTGCCCTGTGCTATTTTTCTCCCAAAAAAGCAGATCCAGCTGTGATGGGTCATCACAGGTCACACAGTTTCACTGCAACACATGTCCTTCATGTCCTGGAGGCCTTCTCTTTGCGAACCTGGCTTCATGATGGGCTCTCAACCTGATGTTTATCTTCATGGTATCAGGAGGGCAAGTGCCACATCCCAGCTGAGGTCCAGCCACATTGAGAGGAGGGTTACCTGTGCACCATAGGATTTGCCCTGTCCACCATCTGGGATCTGGCTACAGATTGTATGGGTTAGCTACTCTGTTTTTTTTCCCAGACATCAGTGTTTTTCAAGACTTTTAATACCCACAATAAGAAATACACTGTGATTCCAGTTTATATAGCCATCACTGGCATAGGCCTTACTGTATGATGCACTGGGATATTTCTTACTCTAACCTTTCCATCCTACTCAACCCTGCCCTGCCCTGCCCTGCTCTACCCTACCCTGCCCTATGTCATTCTTCCAAGTTGCTGGTTACAACTGACTAAATTGATTTTATGACCCACAAGTGGGTCTGAACCTTCAGTTCTGGAAACTACTTTTGGTGGTTCTCTCTGTGAGCCATGGGTATTGGTACCAGGTATGTAGTGCCTGTTTACTTTGATTGGTGGGGGTCAGCATGGTGCTATGCCTCAGGAGCCTGGGTGCCTCAAGGTCATATGGGGACAGTCAGAAGAACTATATTAGGAGCTTCTGAGAATCTGACTACTCAGAACCCTAACACCAAGTTTTGGGGTCTCTTGTCCTTGTAATGGTTCCATGTTCTGGGGGGCCGTGGGGCTGGGTGGTCAGAGACCTCAGGTGGGTAGCACTCCTGAATATGTGTCAGGATTAGTTCTGGCAGGGTTGGGGAGGCAGAAACAGAGAAATCCATTCAAGAAAGAAGAAGATCCAGTTTGGGGATTGCTGCTCAGCCTCTGCAAGCAATTCAGATTCCAGACTCTGACACTGCTGAATGAATCTCCTGCTGTCCTGTCTACATAGCCAGGTGTCCCTAGGACCTGTCTGCTCCTATGTAGAGTGTGGTCCTGATGCTTCTAAGGTCTTTCTTCCGGGGTGGGGGGCGGTGGTCAGGAGTTCTGAGTGTCTTTCATACTTGGTTTTATAGACATGTCATGTCTACAATGTTTGAGGGTGGTATTTGTGGCATGACTTTTAACTTGTTCTGCTAGTATTCTTGGATGCTTTCTGTGTTTGTGAAATTGCTATTTTGTATTAACACAGTATTTGATAAACATTTATATTAAGAAGAATAATCCTGCTGGGGAATGTTATTGTTTCCAGTGGCATAGGAAGAATATAAATCAATAAAAATTCAAGATGCCTCATTCTTGCCCAGTTGTCTTTTTAAAAATAACACTTGTCAATTATTTTTATAAAAATAAACTCTGTTCATTGTAGAAAACTTGGAATGTTTAGAAGAGTAGTAAATGGAAAACTCTGGATTAGCTTTGTATTGCTATTTACAAAATTATGCTAAAATATAGTGGTTAACACAACCATAATCATCAGTGTCTGTTGTGGTTTCTCTGGGTCAGAAATTCAGTCTGGGCTCAGCTGGAGGAAGTGAAGGCTGGAGGCCAGAATCATCTGTTGGTTCACTCACTTCTGGCGGTTGATGCGGGCAGTTGGCCAGGGCCCTCACTGTGGAGGTTGGCTGAATACCCTCATTTAAAATGGGGGTTTTAAAATTATTCAGGTTTGGTGAGCCTGACAGATCAGGAGAGGATTACTATTGCAAAAGATAGCTGTTACTCAGCTCTCAAGAGGAGGGGATACTCCAGTCCATGCAGGGCCATGTGGGGGATAGCTGGGGTCCTGTCTTGTAGAGGGAGCAAGAGGAATAGGAATAAGAGTCTCTATCATGGTTTTGATGGGGAGGTATCGGCAAGGTAAGGTATACAGGCTTAGAATTGGCTAGTCTGGATAATTTCAGCAGGCCTGTGGATATAGGGATGGCTATCCCCAGTTGTCTGGTACCTGGTCCTGAGGTCATGAGGACAGGGGGAATATTGTCCTGGAGTGTGGGACCCATAGAGGAGATGAGGAGATACAGTCTCTCAGTTGGTTTGTGCCTGATGGTGTGCTACGACCGCTGGGGATTGTTTGCTGCCTCTAGGGATTGGTTAACCCTCAGAGGGGCAGTCTCTCCATGGTCATTGAGGCCCTGGATATGAAAACATCAGGGGAAAAGAGAAGGCATGCCAATGTGTACCCACAGGTGACTTCTCCATGTGACCTGGGCTTCCTTACAACATGCTGGCTGGGGCCCAAGAGAAAGAACAAGCCAGGCAGGAGAGGTCAGGTCTTTCATGACCTAGCCTTGGAAGTCCTGCACAATCACTTCTGCCACATTCTACCATTTGACACAATTTGAAGGGAAAGCCACGTAGACCTCCTCCCCACCACCCATGGGGGAGAATCCTTGCTATAGTGTGAGTGGGTGGAATGTGTAGTAAAGTGGCTGTCTTCAGGGACTGTTTTCTGCCACAGACTGCATCACCCAGAGATAGTCATGTTACTGTCCCTCCTGTCTTGCTTGTACATCTTTCTGCATGTGACTTCACAAAGGAGAATGATTTAATATCAATGAAATGTTTTGATCTTGGGCAAGTCCCTTAGGCTCCCTTGACTTCTGTTCACGGCAGACAATGGATCACATTAAATCAGGAACTCCTATCCTTTTTTCCTCTTGGATACTAGAAGGAAAATTTCTAACTGGACCAAGTACTCTCACCCCTTTAAAAAAAAAAAGGCAACTTTCCCCAATTCTCTGTTAAAAAATTAATACGCAATATTTTCAATCTGAATTAATTATCCTTCAATTATATCATGAGTCCAACAGTATCTTCTAACAAATGCTCACAAGCAACCAAGAAATAAAAAAGTCAATATTAGTGGACTTACCACACTCACGCATTTCTGGTTCAACAACATGTCTGCTTGAAGACACATGTGCTCATGTTTCCTGATTTTATGTTGTGACCGCATCACATGGTCATATTTTTGGCTAATGAAATCAATCCTAACTCCTATATGGATTGAAATGCTTTTCTTAAGAGCACTAGGATTTCCAGAGGCTTCATCACATGAATAGTTTATCCCCACTGGTGTAGATGATTTCTTAAGCCCACCTGGCCTAAAATTTTTGATAGTTAGGTAAATGTGGTTAAAGATTCTTTAGAACAGACCAAACTGAATGTTTGTTCTATTTTAATGGTATTGAAGGCATTGCTTACTTGTTTAATCGAACACGTTCACTACACCTTGGCTTCACTTACTATGTACATGCTAATGGCTTTGAATCAGTATTTTCCAATTAAGTATCTCACTTGGCCTACAGATCCATAGAGCCGATTCCCTCTTGCATGTCTACACCAGAAGATGCATATAAACATCAAACTGAATGATATTAAAATAGGATCTTTTTCTCCCCATCAATTATTTCTCTTCCATATCTTGGTGACTTCCCCACTATCTGCCTACTGACTACAGTGGAAGCCTGGGTGCCATCTCAGATTCCTTCACATTATTCTGCGTATCAGTCAGCTTGGGCAACCACAGGCTGACTTACACAATAGAAATTTTAACCTTTCACAGTTCAGAAGGTTGAAAGTCTAGGATCAAAATATCGTCAGGGCTGATGCTTTCTGAGGGCTGAGGGAGAAACTGTTCCACGTCTCTCTGAATTTCTGGTGGTTTGCTGGCCATTTTTGACATTCCTTGGCTTCCAGATGGGTCATCCTGCTTTCTGCCTCCATCTCCACCTGGCTTTCCCTCTGTGCCTCTTCCCGAGTCTGTAAAGACTTCCTCTTGTGTAAAGATACCGGGTTGGAGTAGAGCCCACCCAAGTGTCACTTTAACAGTCACCTCTGTAAAGACCCTGTTTTCAAATAAAGTCACATTTCAAATAAGCTCCAGGGGTTAGGACAGCAACATATTTGTTTTTAAGAGGACACGGTACACCCTATGACATTCGCTGTCAAATCTTGTCAGTCTTGCCTCTTGATTGCCATCTGTGCTTGCGTCTTTCTCTCCATCATCACTGCACTTCTGTCCACACCTCACATCATCTTTCTCCTAGGTGACTGCTCTGGTCTCCTGATTTCCCACATGTATTTAGTTCCATGCAGTAGAAGGGGTAGTTTTGAGAAATATTAGTTCTGACTGGTGGATTGTGTGACTTGTCCACATTTCTCCCTTGTGCCCCACCCTTGACATGGACACTCACCACCATGGGAAGAGAACACTGTCCTTTCCTATTGATGCCAGGCTAAGCCTTGTCATTTGTTCTGGCCAATGGAATGTTGGTGAATGTGACATCCACGGGTGCTTTAAATGAGCTCATGTGGTTTGGTTTGGCCTCTTGCAACTCTGCCCTCTACACTGAGAAGAACATGCCCCTGGTGAGTGTTGCTCCAAGAATAAGGAGGCCTGTAGAACAGATCTGAGCTCAATTCTACTCAAGCTCCATGAAGCCACAGGCCATTTGCAGGTCCACACACAAGAACAATAAATGTTTCTTATAAAGTCTCTGAGTGTTGGAGTTGTTATGTGGTATTATCTCAGCAGTGACGGGTTAATATACAATTGCTATGCCACAGTGTTGTGTTTACTGTGCACTGGTGGGTAAGTTCCTTGAGGGTGCTTTGCGGTAGCCCCTCACCTGCAGTCTGGGTACCCTACATGTCACTCTGTGGTCCCAGACCCCATGTTTCTCTCTAGTCCCATGTGTTACCAGTGCTGGGCGGTATTAAATTGTTGAATCAAAATTGCTCAGCATATGATGTGGGAAGAAAAATAACAATTGCTAAGTTTTTGGCTGAGTCTACAAGGACTGCTATTTATAGGGTGTGGCACTGAGTTCATCAAGGATGGAATCTGAGGCTTAAATCACTTGTTTTGCCACCCCTCCCATCCAATGATGTAGACGAAACAGTCTTTGAAAGAAAGGCAGATCGAACATTTATCCTGTGCCTGCTGCCAGCTGCCCTTCCTCACTTCCTGCTCCTCCCTAAGAGCACAGTTTCTCTGCCCTTGGGCCAGATGGCCCTTGGGAACCTGCACTTTGACCTTAACTGGTTGCTTTTCCTTTGGGCTCTTTGGTCCTTTCCTTGGCTGAGTCCTAGGATTCTGCCTCCCCCTTGTGGCCAGGGAGGGCCACTCGACACTCCTGTCTGCTAGTGAATTTGCATATATTCGAACCTACAGTTCAAAAACTTGTTTTGCCTACTGCTTATGAACCTGAGGCTAGGATACAAATAGAAATAAAACTCAGTTCTTACTCTTGAGAAGCTTCCACTTGAGGGAGGGGGTAAGAGATGAGATAGTTGGAAATCTAGTCATTCCTGTGTTTATTCATTTTACAAATATTTATCAAGCACCTTCAAGTATAACAATCAGCAGACAGATGAAGCACTTGACTCCACAAACCACCAATCTCACTGTGAGCTAAATATGCCAACAAATAAATGTAAATAATGGCACAGGCCTAAGAATGGAATACAATAGGCAGTGAGCTAGAGGATGGCCACAAGGGATGACCATTCAGACAATGGTGGGGTTAAGTGGAGTTGAGTTTTGAGAACAAGAAGGTGCCAGCATGCAGACAACAGGAAGAACATTTTAGGAGGAGGAGAAAGTAAGGGGAAAGGTTTCAGAGGAGGAAATGTGCTTAGGAGGTTTGAAAACAGTTCTGTGGGGCTGGAGTCCGACCAAGAGAGAGAGCAGCTGGAATGGTCAGCAGGGGCCAGTTGGAATAGGGTTTTATAAGCCCTACTTTATTCTAAATGCAAAAGGAAATTATTAGAAGATTATAGGCTGGGGAGTAACAAAGTCTGATTTGCATTTAAGGAACATAGCTTGCCATGATGTGGACTTGGTCAATAAGATAGTAAAAGATAAAAGGCTGTGGGGGCACAGAGGAGGGGTATGTAACCAGCCTGGGTGTCAGGAAGGCGTTTCTGGATAAGGGATTTTGGTTATCTGTTGATGTGTAACACACTGCTCCCAAACTTAGAGACTTAAATTAATAATAAATGTTTATCACCTCACTTGGTTTCAGTGTGGTGGGAATTTGGGAGCAATTTTGCTGGTCCAGCTTGGGGTCCCTCATCAAATACAGGAAGGATGTTGATCAGGACCTCATTATCAGAAAGCTTCTGGGGAAAATGTGACCCAACCATGAGATGATTCACTTGCATGAAGGGCAAGTTGGTGCGGCATTGGTGGGATGTCTCGGGTTTCCTGCCATGTGAACCTCTCTAGGGCTACTTAAGTGTCTTCCCCACATGGCAACCATCTTCCCCCAGAGAGAGTGATGCTCTGAGAGAGCAAGTGTGGAATCCACATCTTTTATCATCTAGCTCCAAAAGACAGACTGCCATTCTGGAAACATTGATTATATAGGTCAGACATACTCAACGTAGGAGGGAACTACACAGGGGCATGGAAATCAGAGGAGGTAGACAGGGTACTTTGGAGCTGTCTACTACAAAAGTAACACCTTCTCCGAGTCTTAATGAGTAAATTTGGCCAGATGAGGAAGTTGATGTTATGAACTGAACTGTATCCTCTTAAAATTCATATGTTTAGTCTTAAATCCCAAACCTCAGAATGTGACTATATTTGGAGATAGGATATTTAAAGAGGTGATTGATAAGGTTATTAGGGTGGGCCCTAATCTGACAGAGTCCTTATAAGGAGATTTGGACACAGGCATGCGCAGAGGGACGACATGTGGGGACACAGGGAGACCTTCTACAAGCCAAGGAGAGCGGTTTTGGGAGACACCAGCCCTGCTGACACCCCAGTCTTCAACTTCTAACTCTAGGACTATGAGAAAAGTTAATTCCCACTGTTTAAAGTGTCCGGTCTGTGATATTTGGTTAGGACAGTCTGAGCAGATTAACACAATTGGGAAAGGTGTCCCAAGGCCAAGCAAAGAGAGAGGTGTGAGACAGAGTAGTAGCAGCAGCAGCAGCAGCAGCAGCAGACATTACTAGATCTTGAAGAGGAGAGAGTAGCAGACTTTTTCTGTAAAAGCTGGGTAGTAAATATTTTAGGTGTTTGGACTAAAGTCTGTGGTATGAAAGCAATTACAGATAATTGAACAATTGAGTGCAATTGTGTTCCAATAAAACTTCATTTACAAAAATAGCAGCCTAGATTGGCCCACAGGCTATAGTTTGCCAAGTCCTGCTGAACAGGGGTGTGGGGAGGAGTGGGAGGTGGGCCAGGCTGGCAGTGAGAATATCCTAGGAGGAAAACTCAGGCCTTAACCCAGGTTCTCCTTCCAATCCTGATATTTGCCCCTTCAGTGTTGGTGGGGGGAGGTCGTGTATGTGTATGGGGAGCCCTGGGAAGGTTCCTGTGTGTATGTGGGAAGTCCTATAAAGGATGTTATTTAACCACTAGTCCTGAGCTCTGTTCTGTCTTTCCCTTTAGCTGCCTGATCTGAGCTTGTAAAGGTTCACTTGCAGAATCAGGATTCTGCATCTTAATGTCCAAGGTCATGTGAGTCTCCAGGTCTAGACCATAGCAGTGTGGTAGAAAAGAACTTGTCTATGAGAATCCTTTCTCCAAGGTGAAACTCGGGGGCAGGAGTACTGGTGGCAGAGTGAACTCTGAGGAGGACTCCAAGGAGGACTGTTGGGTCAGAGCCCTCAAGCTGACCTGACCCGCTTTGCATTGTTTTAAGAAGAGTACCACGATCTGATTTGTCATTTAAAACTGGCTGCTGGGTGGGGGATAAAATGTAGGGGAGGAGGGAGGATTAGGGTCAAAATAAGGGGGGTGGGAATTGTATGGGGAATATAACCCAGATGAAAATACATACATTGTGGAAAAATGGTGTAAAAAAAATATATAAAATAATAAGTTCAGAGAAAAAGAGGTAGAAGAAAGTGGAAAGTAAAATAATTCTTATTTTTAAATAGCTTACAATAGTCAAATAAAAACCTACTAAATGCCAATCACAATAAAATTTATTCGATATACAAAAAAAAATGTAGGGGAGATGGAACCATCACCCATGTTCACTTCGAATACCTTAGATGCTTGTATATAGGGCCACTCTCCCTTCCCACAAGCTTTATTTAGCTTGCCCTCTCCTTTTCTTGGGCCCGTCCACTGGAGAACTAGAAGCTGTGGACTAGACACCTGTCCTCTAGAGCTTGAACCAGCACGTGGCACCCCAGCCCAGCACCCGCCCCGCAGACTAAGTGTAGCACAGCCCCGCCTCTCCGCAGTCAGCTCCGCCCCTGTCCTTGAGGCCACGCCCCCGACGCTAGGCCACGCCCCCAGAGGCCGCTTCCCGGCCCTTTGGGTGGCCCGGGAGGAACCCGCGCTCAGCCGGTCTCCTCATGCTAGCCCCGCCCACAAGCCCCCCGCCCTCCAGGGCCCCGCCCACTGGAGGTCCCGCCCCGGCCGTTGGGCGGCCGGCAGGAGGCGCCGCGACGCTCGCGGGCTGGGGGCGCGAGCTCCGGCCAACCGCGGGTGTGGGAGCCGCGCGCGGCGCGGCGGCGAGGGCGGTGGACTGGGCTGGAGGTGAGTCCGGGGTGCACGAGGGGAGTTGGTGGGGGCCTCTCGGCGGTGGCCGGGGATGGGGGCGCCGAGGTCGGAGGGGCGCCCGCCGGGCGCGCGCTCTGGGCGGTGGGACCCGCACGGGGCTTATTCCGGGACGGCTAGGCTTGTTCAGTTACCATGGAAACGGCTGCTCTCGGGGCTCCGGCGCAGTCCGGGGAGGGGGGGGCGGGACCCAAATACTGGCTAGAGCGGGTGAGGGCCGAGACTGCGGGATTCCAGGGGACTGTGTGCCCCCACCCCGTGCCACCCCTGAAGCCTGTCCCCCCACCACCACAGGTCATCCCCGGTCCTCAGTCTCCCTGGCGGGCCTCTCGAGGGAGGGGGCACTCCCGCGCCCGCACCCTCCCTCCAGGGTCTGCTTGACACCCCCACCCGCAGCCCGTGCTGGCTTTCCTGTTCACACAGCAGCACGTTTCCCACTCCTGTGCCAGCTGAAAGCATTGTCTGCCAGCTATTTCTGTACCATCCCAGCCCCTCCACTAATACCGCATCTAAGAAAACAGATGCTGAGCTGGAGCTCCTTGGCGCCCGGCAGAAGAAACCCATTTATTTCCTGTCAGAGACCGGGTTAGTGGGGCCTTGGAGGAGCTGCAGACCCACCCACTTGCTAGCTCCCAGCACCCTATCAAGTGTTTGGTTAATCTGAATTGCCAAAAAGAATTTTCCAAGTCACCATGATTACAGGTGTCTCCAGATAGCCTGGCCACTCACGCATTCCAGAGAGGAGCCAGTGCTCACTCCCATTGGTGGAAAAAGTCAGTCCCCTTTCAAGAGGCAGGCTAGCATGTCAGAATTAAATCTGATTAAATTATTTTTGTATTTAAAAGCACTGCTGAGGCTGGGAGCTGTCAGAGAGGATTTACAGACGGCTGTCTCTCCTCTCGCTTACTGTCCTGGTGGAAACTCTAATGGATTCCACATTTGCAGGGCTGGACCGGCCACTTCCCTCCACCCATTCTGTCGGCCCCGCACTGACCTCGCTCACTGTACTCGCTAGTGTGACGTGGGCTTGTTTTCATCAGAAATCGGGCTTTTCCTTGAGAACAAGAGAAAAACATTCTCTAAGGGAAGCAGGAGCAAGCGCCCTACAGCCTGGGCCCGGGTTTCCCAAGTGTTTGTGTGAGAGGAGTGAATTGAGCAGAAGAGGAAAAGACAGGTCATTGCTTCCAAAAAGCAGATCTGGTTACCCTGGGCGTCTCCACTCAGTGGGATTTTCCTGCTCTCCTGCCCTTTTTTAAAATGAGCCATTACATTTGGACAAAAGGTTGTGCTCTGCATTCTGATTCTGAAGGGGGGGCTGGGGGTGGGGACAAGTGGCTATGCCAGTAGGTATTTGCTGAAAATGGCCACAGAGAGAATGACTCTGAGGAGAAAAGCCTTCCTGAGAAAAGAGGTCAAGTAGATCAGGGTCTGTGTTTACTGGGATTTCTTGGGACTTAAAAGGGTGTCACATTTTCTCATTCTCTTCATGATATTAACAACTTTGCCTTAGAAGCCAGCACAAGAGACTGATGCAAAGGGTGGGGTCCCTCTTCCAAGGCTCTGGGAGGGGACCTAGCTGCTGTGCATTTCTATCATCTGTTTCTGTTTTATGAAACGATTGTATAAGCTCCAGGGCTCACTGAACCTGGATCCACCCTGGGACACAAAATATCCGCTTCTCCTGGGCTTTTTAATTCCTGGGTTTACTTCATGAATTTTCTGAGACATGGGCTTTTTCTGGTTAGACATGGTTTCCACAGTTTTTGACATTGTGTTTAACTTTACATTCAGACATCATCTCTAAAGGCTGCAAACTGCCTGGTGGCAGAGGCCACCCTGGGCCACTCCGAGCTTGGGTCTGGACCCTGGGGAACCCGTCAGAGATGCAGACTATGCTTGAAGGAGGCCAGGTAAGGGCAGTGTTCGGGGAGGGTCAGGTCCTCTGAGAATGTGCGGCAGTCTCGAGAGACAAGTGTTGGAAATTTCAGAGGCAGGGTTGTGTGATTTGCTCAAGGTTTGGGTTGGACTTGGCTGGGTTTTAAAGCTGCGGGCGGGTGTGGTATGCAAGGGCAAAGCCATATGCTTGTTGCGTGTGTGTCATCTGAACTGCTTTTGTTGTAAATTAAGTTTGAGGACATTGGCCGGTCCCTGAGGGGATGCCGTGGCCAGCTCTGGGCACCTTAGGATTTGACTAGGAGCCCAGCACATTCCTCAGGGAAGGAGGAACCAACAAGCATTTGACTCATTTACTCCCCTATAGTTTGACTCACTGAGGCCAAAGGTACTCATTCTGCTTAGGACACTAGACTGTTTTAAGTAAGTTCAGGTTTTCAGGAAGCCAGCACGTAATCAAAGGATTTACAGTAACAAGCAGTAAGCTATAGGAGCGTAAATACCTCCCTCCCCCAACCCCCCCTGCCAGGATAGTTGGAGCCCAGTCTGGTTGGTGGAGCTATGAGAACCATTTTAAAGAGTTCAGGGTCCTCCAGGGATGTATGGTGGTTGACAGGCGGGGGACTGGTTCTAGAGGAGTTGAATGGGGGAGGGTCTGCTTTTCAAAGTTCGTTTATGACAGCGCGGCTGGGCATGAGAGGCTTCAGAGAATCTGGTGGAAGCCTAGGCGGACAGTGGACAGAAACCCAGTCCCCAGGGCCTGAGGGGTTGGAGGCTGCATTTTCACTGTTTAGTTCCCTCAGAATCTGCAGGAGTTCTTTATGGGGAGGGGAGGGTTTCCCGTTTACTTTCCCGTTTACTTTCCCGTTTACTTTCTCCTGCCCTAAGCCGTCACCTTAAGTTTTAAAAGCCCCTTTCCACACCCAGGAGCCATGAGAGTGAGTCAGGACTAAAGACCGATGTTGGTCACAGTGGCAGGTTCCAGTTGCTGCTTTCACTGGGACCTGGGCCAGTGTTTCCACAGCCTTCTAGAACATAGACTTTTCTTCTTAGCCTGTCTGCTTTTGTCTTTGGTGGGGACCCAAGCACAGAAGTGGGGTACAGTAGTCAGCAGATGTGGGCAATGTTTGTGTTCCCCCGACTTGTGGCAAAGCCTTACTCTTATGAAACAGAGACCATCTTCCTTGTATCATGCCCTCTTGCGTCCACTGAGCTTTGGTGGGGCCTGAGCAACTCTCTCTTTAGAACTCTAGGCCCTTGGAGCACTAATTGTGTTAGAATTACGACTTTATGACACACCAAAGCTTCCCAGAGCTGTCTTCTAATTTCTCCAGCAAGACTGAGTCTCTGGCCTGGACAGGCCAGAACTCTGGGCTGGATACGGTGGGTGGAACGCACACATTCCAGCCATTCCTCCACCATTCTGGAAGAGCCCTTTTGTGTCCACTGTGGTTGTGTGACATTCTAGTGCTGCCATTCCAGAGTAGCTGCTCCTCCAAGCCAGGGCTGGCCATGGAGGACCAGTGTTTGGGGGTTTATATTTTGAAATTCTGATCTCTTATTACTCTGGGAATGTGGCTGCGACTGTTTTTCTAGTTCTGTTTGTGTTTGAGTTTTCTGTATTATAGACTATGGGGTAAGAGAAGCTGAATTCACGGAGATAAGGCATTTATAATCAATCGTTCATGACTTTTCTTTGGGTGCTGTGGTGACAGATGAGATGGGCCACGCTGCAGGCACAGAGAGTGCCTATGGCCCCACGTGCTTCTTGGCTGCCTATCTCAAGGTGTGTATTGTATCCAGCACTTTGCAGAAGTCAGAATCCTGCAGTAGAACGAGTCTAACCTTTCGGTGACCACATCCTGCTTCCTAGTAGCAGCATTCCTTGAAGGGCGCTTCAGCCCATTCACACCTGCTTTGTCCCTTTGTCCCTGTGGCCCCACAGGATTCAGCCACATCCTTCCTCAGGTGCCCTGCGGGAACTTGGCAGAGGGTGGCATGCCTGCTGCTTCTGCTGGGACGCAGGCCCTGGATGGTCTCTCAAGTCCATTAAAGCTCACCCAAGCCCCATTTGCTGTTGCTAACCTACCTTATGTTTTCCTCTCAGGACACGGCTTTTCCCCACGATTGGCTGGAACCCTAAGATCTGGCCCACGGAGACTGGCCCACCATGTTCTATGGGACCCACTTCATCATGTCTCCACCCACCAAGAGCAAGCTTAAGCGGCAGAGCCAGCTGCTGTCCAGCGTGCTGTCCCGGACACTGAGCTACAAGTATCGTGACCTTGATGCCACCTTCTGCAGCCTGGGAGCCAGTGACGACCCAGCAGAGCTGTCTACCCAGCTCTCAGCTCCTGGGGTCCTGAAGGTGTTTGGGGACAGCGTCTGCACAGGCACCCACTACAAGAGTGTCCTGGCCACTGGCATGTCCAGTGCCCAGGAGCTGGTAAAAGAGGCCCTAGAACGTTATTCCTTGAGCTCTGACTGTGCCAGCCAGTATGTGCTGTGCGATGTGGTGGGCCAGGCTGGTGACTCTGGGCGCCAGTGGCGGGCTGAGTGCTTCCGGGTCTTTGGGGATAATGAGAAGCCCCTCTTGATCCAAGAATTATGGAAACCCCGAGAAGGCTTGTCCCGGAGGTTTGAGCTGAGAAAGAGGTCAGATGTGGAAAAGCTGGCAGCCAAGGATGTGGACACCATGACAGCAGGTAAGGCGGGGAGATTCAGAAACAGAGGGAGGTAGCAAGGTATGTCTGGAGGACAACTAGAACCCCTGGCGTTTGAACACTCCCTCTGACACTCGCCCTTTTTACCATGTGCTCTTGGGGGTTGTAGTTCGTTGATACCACAGGACTTGGCTGCTGCTATTGTCTAGCAGTATTCTAGGCAGACTCCTCCTTTTCTTTAAATGTTGTCCAGGTCTCTGGCAGTCACATCATTAGCTGCAGAGAAACACGCGTGTCTGGTGTCACGCTGGTGGCAGAAGTGTTAGAGAAAGTCCTTTAGTGCCAGAGGCATTGGTGAACCTTTGGGACAATTCAATGAAAATATGAAGGAATCCAGGTCTGAGAGATGACTTGGTACATCTGGGTATGCACGGTCCTGTGGGCAGTGGGCAGTGTGCTGGAGGAAGGCCAGCCAGGGAGCAGGTGGTTACTGGTCACCTGAGGTGTCCCAGTTGCAGAGCTAAGGTGTCCTGTGGCCTAGGGGCCACTGACCTGTGTTTAGCTATTATCCTTATCCAATTGGAAGTCAGTTATCATAATAGGTAAGTGCCATAAAAATAATTTTTAAATGCCAAAAGATTGTTGGATATGGCTCAGATCATGCCTTAGTTTCCATAGAAAAACGTGTCCATGATGCAGTAGACTTGTCTTAAGTAGTTCTGAGTGGAGAGACCTTTAATGGCCTCCTGAGACTGGTCACTGGATTTCAGGGCCTTGAACCCCGGATGATGGCTTTGCATGTCCCTGAGGTGTTACAATGCTCCTTGTCTAGTTCTCCTTCCGCTGTGGAGTCTGCCCTGTGCCTTTGGTTTGTGAAGATGGGCAGTCGGAGTCCCAGCAGTTAGAGGCACTTGGGCCTGACCAGGGACCCACCATGGCACAGCCAGGGTGTTACGAAGCTCTGGGGATATCATGGGCTCTGGAGCACCGTGGTAGGCACTGGGCAGCCATGTTCCTCAGCTGCCTTGGGTGGTTGTGTGCGTGCAGGCACCCGGGCACTGTAGGCAAGGACCAACGGCACTGTAGGCAAGGACCAACTCTGACATTCAGAGTTGCTGGCATGGGATGGTATAAAAAACAGGCAACTTGCAATTAATTTTGTTTTCAGTCTCCTCATATCAGGATGTTAAGTGCCTCCCTGGACCCTCCCCAACTCCACAGCCCTGGCCTCAGTGGTGGGATTTCTGTCCTGACCCTGCCTTGACTGGCCCCTTCCCCTCTTTCAACTAAAATACCTGCTGAGGGGATGCTGCGGTCTGGTCAAGGGCTCCATGTCAGCTCTCGGTCATTCCCTGCCTGGTGTTTCTTCTGCCAGCCCTGCCTGTCCTGAGGGCACAGTGCCCTGGACCTCGGAAAGCCCTCTGTGCCTCACTGGTGATTGCTAGGGGGGACTCGGAGCCTGACACCACCGTGGGAAGCAAGACATCATTTGCTTTGGTTCCCCAGCCACTTTTACCTGTTGCTTTTCCTGCAGTTGAGGCAGGGAGCACCCATGCCCACAGGCTGTCAGAAGCTTTCAAAGAAAGAGTCCATTGACCTGGGCTGCTTTCACTGACACACTTCTCCAGGCCAAGAGCAGGTTGTTTTACCTGCTGCGCAGGCCTCACAGACCCCGGGGAGTCAGCCTTCTCTAGAACCTGCTGCTTCGGGCACTGCTCTGCCCCAGCCAGGTCTCTCCTGGCCAGTGACAGTGGGGCCTGAGAAGGCTGAGGTGGTCCTAGCTAGAAACTGCCATGCAGCCCCTCAGGGTTGCTGAGGACCTGGAGACACCTCTAGGGTCAAGGCCCTCCTCCACATTAGGCCTGGCAGGTGGGACTGAACCCAAACTCCGGCATCTTCTGACTTAGTCTTCCTCTGGTTTTCTGATGCACAGGGATATATAGACATGAAAGTGTGCCCAGAATTGTTCCCTGTTGAGTACACACTCAAAATTGTTCCCTGTTGAAGAATCTGGTGCAGTCTTCAAAGGTGGGAAGAGTAGAGGGTGGATGTGGGCCTGGTGACAGCTGGTGGGGCTCAAGAGGCATGTTCAGTTCTGTGACCTGGTGGCAATTGTGTGTTCGGTTTGGTCACAAGAAAGAAGGGGGGGCTTTTCCCAGCATTCCCAGCACCTGGCTGGTCCTCTGCCTGACTTGCCTCTGGGGAAGGGAGTTTCCTACCTCCTGGGTGCTGGTCGTGATGAGCCCCAAGGTGCTGTTGGGGCACAGCATCTGCCATCCCCTGCAGAGTGGGGCCTGTGTGTTGCTGTGAGGCTTAGCTGTGGTCTTTGCTGTGGTGACAGCTGCACCCGCAGAGGTGGCTGTGGTGTTTGAAAGGGTGGTGTATATCACTGTGAAGCAGGGATCTGGTCACCTGGGGACACATGGGGCACATCTTACTCACCCAGTGAGCCAGTAGCTTACCTCACCCGGAAAAGGTGGTGGCAACGGGAAGGGACCGCCTGGGCACGTGCACAAGTGTTTGTATGCTCACGTGTGTGCGTGTGTGCAGGTCTTTGCATGCATGAGTTTGTGTGTGTGTGTGAACTGACGCCCTCCCTGGGCATCAGGCTACTGAACACTATCACAGTAATTCCAGTTCTTGTCTCCGCAGTCAAAGATTCACCCTGGTGGTTCAGGGGTTGGGGCTCACTGGCTGTGCGGGTTTCAGGGGAACCCTTTAGCCAGAGTCCGCTGCACACACCTCTTCCTTGCTCTACAACTGAGAAGTGCCTGGGAGCAGAGTGTGGGCGGGGGAGGGCGGAAGCCGTGTGTGGGTGTTTGGGTGGTGGGGGGCTGCTCACCACAAGCTGTGTTCTTGCAGGTTAGCTGGGGTCCAGCGGAATCCAGGGTGAGTGTCTGCCAGACACTTCCCCAGAGTGCTGAAATAAGAACCCCACTTTTCAATCATTTGGCCATTGTTATGCACCCTGTAATGCTCTCGGGTTTTTTCCCCATAAATATTGCCTTTCCATAGCTGCCAGTTTCCCTCGGATTTCCAGAGTGTGAAAACACTGCGTGCAGCAGTTCTGGGGGGAGAGCTGGCTGCAGAGCACGCTCCCTGCCTTTTCCCAGAGGCAGGTCTTTAGTAGTTAGGACCGTGCCATGCGGAGAGGGCTCTGGGACCCGTCACCGAGATAAAGACAATAATCGCTTGCATTCACTCTGGGGAGGGGCGAGGCTGGCCATGTGGTTTTTGTCAGTGACTTGGGAGGGGTGAGAGAGAAAGGTTTGTTTGCGTTCCCAGGAGAAGCTGGCCTGAAACGCGCCAAAGCTGAGGGAGGTCTTCCTCTCCTCGCCTTCCTTCCCGGCTCCCTTCCTTCTCCCCTCCAGCCCTCCTCCCCTCCCGCCCTGCCCTCCCCGCCTGCCTTTCTCCTCTTCCGTCTGTCTCTCCCTCCCTCTCCTCAGCGCTCTCCTGCCCCACTCTCCACGCCCCCCAGAGTGTACGTAGATTGGATTTCTCAGCCTCTGTCCCACTGGCATTTGGGGCCAGATAGTTCTCTGCTGAGGGGGCTTGCCTGTGCATTGCAGACTGTTTAGAAGTGTCCCTGTCCTCTACCAACTAGATGCCAGTGGAGCCCCTCCAGGTGTCCCATGGAGCAAGCTTGCGCTCAGTGGCCAACCACTGGTTCGGAACCGCACTTGGCACGGATGGACTGTTTGTTGGCCACACCGTGGGGCTGGGTGGCCGTGTGCCCTCCTATGACCATCAGGCCAGCCGGTCTCTCCTGGGCTACTCTGGGGAACATGGGGTGTCTTGGAAGTCCACTGTTTTCAGAAGGGTGACTTGAGGAGCTTCTGTGCCTTTCAGCACCTTTCTGTGTGGGCTTTTTGACCCCGAAGTTTGAACTGTTTCATTCTTCCTTCTTTGCTTTGGGGTCTTTCTTGGTAGAGGCAGTTTTGAATATTTCTAAAGCCACTATGACTTGAGGTGATCACTGTAGATACACACCTCCAGGGACCACTCTGCGTCAGTAATTGGGCTCCGACCGTTTGTCCTTCAGATGTCCATCCAGAATACAGTAGATGCTTGTTAAATGCCTATTGAAGGCTTGATGCAGATTTGAAGAGCAGGCTGTCCTGTAAGTCCAGCTTCCATAACTTAAGAGTTAGAATCTGTTTTCTTCTAGAGGATGAGGGACTGATGGGTGGGTAGGTGGTATGCAGACGGAGTGGTTGTCCATCGGTGCACTTTCTGTTTTCTGTTTTTATTTTTGCATAGAAGAACTGGGGTGCAGCCAGAGGTGTGGAGTGAGAGGATTCACCAGAGACAGAGTGGGGAGCATAACAGGCGGACCTACTGAAATACACTGCTGAGGGGAGCAGCAGGCAAGACAGGAGAGGTCTGCTGTGCCATGTGGTTCAGCTCCCTGGCTGGGGATCAAACTCAGGCCATCGCAGTGGTAGTGCTGAGACTTAACCCCTGGGCCACCAGGGAGGCCCCACTGGTGTACTTTGTGGTTGAGACAGGAGAACTGACTGCTTTGGCATCTGCCAGCATGGCCTGCCAACCTCTGCCCTCCTCCACTTCCACCCAGAATGGCCAGAGGTGGCAGATGAATTGTCCCTGAGTGCTACTTCTGGGTGTGCCTTTGTCATCCTGAGACTACCCCTGGTGATGGACAGGGATGTTCAGACTCTCGTGAAATCTCTGCTGTCCTCATACTAAATGTGTTCCATGAATTGTCTTCACACATCCCCTGATTTCTCTTAAGTCATTTTCCTTTGAAATTTTTTTCTTCTGCTGTGAATCTGATTTTTAATAACTCTTATCTCAGGATGAAGGAGGCTATCTGGATTTTTTCCTCCTTTTATTTAGGAGTGACTGCCCCTTGAGTGAGACTTCCTTTTGAGTATATTTTCAAAGATAGGGATCATTGTGGCAACTGTTTATTTTATGTGGTTTGGTGAAAAGCAAAGCAACTAAACTTTTTTCACCAGTCTAAAACTAGAAAAGTGATAAAAAAATTGAAGACATTTTAGGGGAAGTTTAACTCAAAGAAA